CCCTCACCTAGACATCAGGTGAAGGCCCGGTAAGTGTTTCTCAAAAAGGGGACGCGGCAATGCCTTCGTAAAGATATCCGCGGTGTTTTTGTGGGAGGGGAGCCACTTAAGCAGGAACATACCCTTCTCGATATGCTCACGTATGAAGTGATAGCGCACGTCTATGTGCTTGGATCGAATATGATTCCGGGCCTCGGTCGACAAGGAAATGGCGCCGGTGTTGTCCATGAATACGTGGATGGGGAAAGGGATATGAATGTGTAGTTCGATGATGAGTGATTTGATCCAAAGGCCTTCCTGAAGGACGTGAGTTACCGCCATATACTCAGCTTCGGTGGAGGAGAGAGCATGGGTTGATTGTTTCTTAGAGACGTGAGCAATGACCCCGCCGGCGTAAAACCACACGTAACCCGAAATCGACAAACGATCAATGGGGGAGCCTGCCCAATCAGCGTCACAGAACGCGTGCAGGTCCTCGTTTACGTTGGCACCCCCATAGTGCAGGCGGAGATTGATGGTTCCGGAAAGGTAACGAAGCAGTCGCTTTGCGGCGGCGTAATGAGCAGGCAACGGTTTCGCGTTATGTTGTGCGAGCGAGTTTACGGCGAAGGATATGTCAGGGCGAGTGCAGATTGCGAGGTAGAGTAGCTCCCCAACGAGCTTGCGGAAAAGTGTTGGGAGGTTGGGGATTATGGCATGTGAGTCGTCAGGTTTTCCGAACGGATGATGTGGGTCGAGTGGGAGGCGGACGGGATTACAGTCGAGCAGGTTGTATTCGTCGAGCAAGTAGGTGATGTACTCGCCTTGGTGCAGCCAAAGCTCACGGCTGCTTCGACTGCGTTCGAACTGAATGCCGATGAACTTGGTGACTGGTCCCATGTCCTTGATACCGAAGCGGTGGTGAATCTTCTGCTTGACCCAGGTCAGGAAAGCGGGATTGTTGGATGTACCCAGCCCGTCGTCGACGTGGAAGCCGATTATGCAGACTATGCGAGTTCCGGAAGCGCTGCTGTCAAAAAGGAATACTGCGTAATCAACAGCGCAGCGAGAGAAGCCCAACTCCTCCATGATGTCCCGAACCTGTTCGTACCACTCCATCGCGGACTGCTTCAATCCGTAGATCGTCCGAAGCATCCGCCAAACCATCACCCTCCAGTCTCCCTCTTCAAATCCTTTGGGCTGACGCATGTATATTTCCTCCTTGAGTACCCCCCAGAGAAAGGCACGTGTGGCATCGAATGAGTGAAGCTCCCAGTCGTTCTTGCAAGCTAGAGCAGCTATGAGGCGTAGTGAAGCGGTTTTCAGCACCGGTGCAAACGTTGCACCGAAATCGACCCCAGGTATTTGAGAGAATCCTTGTGCGACAAGACGTGCCTTATAAACCGATCCTCCCTTATTATCCTCTTTAAACTCTAGAACCCATCGATTACCGATAGCCTTGCGTCCTTCTGGAAGGGGAGAGAGCTTGTAGACACGCATCTCGTCCATTATGCCGAGTTCTTTCTTCATGGCGGCAAACCATTCGTCTCGATCAGTACGTAGCATGGCCTCGTCGTATGTAGCTGGGGGAATGGCCATGTCATAGCCAGGATCGTTGGGATTCCGTTTACGGTCGCTGCGGATGGTGATGTGCGCGTGTTCTTCTATCATGACGTTCGCGTAGGCTTCGGGGATGTCAATGTTCGGTTCTATATCTGCTAAATTCTCCTCTACCACCTTCTGACCCATTTCTCTCTGACCCAATGATGCGCGAGACTCGCGCAGTTGTGCGAGTCGCGCCTTGGTAACTGCGATCCCTTCGGCGAAGGCTTGTCCGGCTGGCGTCTTGACTGTCGCTCTGCCTGAGCGACGAGGTACAATGGCTGAGCCCTGCGGAGGGAGAGTGATTAGAGGAGGCACGGCAGAAGGGGGAAGGGAAGGTGGGGATGAAAGCACACGAGGCTGTGAGTCGTCCTCGTCGGAGTCAGAATCAGCCGAGGGTCGAATGCTAGGCAAACGTTCATCGAAGATAACATCCCTAGCCACGAAGAAAGTGCCATTAGCATCTCGCAATCGGTAGCCCTTGGTACCTTCTGGGTACCCGACGAACATGGCAGGACGGGAGTGTGGACCAAGCTTGGTCTGCAACTCGGAGGGAATTCGGGCGAAGCATCGTGAGCCGAATACTCGGATATGAGAAAGATCCGGTTTACGCCCATTTGCCATTTCGAATGGTGTGACGTCAGATGGTAAGGCACGCGAAGCACTGCGATTCCACAAATAGCACGCTGTCAACGCAGCTTCCCCCCATAGATTCGCTGGAAGACCTGCTGCCTCCAACATGGCAAACAGTCGTCCCTCGATGGTACGAATGGCCCGTTCGGCCTTCCCATTCTGCTGGTGCGCATATGGCGCTGAGAGTTGGCGTTCTACGCCCGAGTCCACGAGTGCTTTAGTGAAGCCAACACTTAAGAACTCCCCTCCGTTATCTGAACGAAAAACCTTGACCGTACGTCCGGAGTGATTTTCCCAACGAGCCTTGATCAAACGCCATGCATCTAAGGCCTGATCCTTGGTGGCCAGAAGTTGAATATTCAGTAAGTTCGTGTGATCGTCGAGAAAGAGTATGAAGTGACGTTTTCCGTGGGGAGTGGCTATGGGGAACGGACCACACAAGTCCGCATGAACAAGATCCAGCATTTGTGCAGCGCGAGGTTCCTCCGAGGGGGGGTAGGGCTTGCGTGGGTGTTTTGCCATGATGCAGGGTTCACAGCGTTGGAGGGGGGCAGTAGAGGTGAACGTGACACCAGTAGCGATGCGTTCGAGTCGTTTGACAGCATCCCCGCCCGGGTGTCCCATACGGGCATGCCACAGGTCTAGCGACAAAGGAAGGCGAACGAAAGCGGAGATTTCTCGCAGGGGTTCGAAGTGTGCCGGTGAAGTGATGTCCGGACGGATGAATTTCAGGTCGACAAAGAATAAGTTCCCAGTCATGGGGACTTCGCCTAAGACCTCACCGTGACACTTCAACTGACAACGCGCTGGTGAGTGCTCGAAGTTACAAGACCACTTCTTCTTCAACATGTGCCCCACGGAGAGTAGATTGATCATGGCGCCGGGCGCATGCAAACAGTCTGTGAAGGTGTTTCTGAACGTTCGTCCACCCAACGTTAAGTCTGCTACGCAATTCCCTCGCCCAGAAGTTGCCAAACTGCCATGATTAGCAGTTTTGACCGTTACGCGAGTGCTCTCAGTGTAAGTCCAGAAATAGCTACGATCAGCAATGAGATTCGAGGTAGTTCCTGAATCGAGTATAGTGGAGAGGGTCTGACGTGCGATGCAGGCGATGTCGTCGAACTGAGGAAGGGATTCATGGTCTGATTCGAGATCCTCTATGAGGGCACATGTGAGGTTGCGTAACTCGTCAGCGACAGCACTGTTTGCGGTGGGAGTGTATGATGGAGGGTTGGAGGGAGGAGCCGTATTACTATCAGCGGCTGCAGCAACGTCCTGCTTCTTTGGCTTTCGGTCCCGGTTCCTGTTACCTCCTTGACCTTCCATGCCTCCACCGGTTTGGAAACAATGTTCTCGATCGTGCGTAAGTGAACGTGGAAGTCCGGTGCATAGAGGATTGTCACAGCTCACCCCTTTGGGGTTATACTTGTGAATTCGAACACCTGTCTTAGGGTTTGTCTTTCCGTCCGAGAATGACTTAAACGATGTGACGTTGGCGTATTCGGATCCTGGACCATTTAACTTATGTTCTCCCCGCAGACGATTAGCCTCTTCAGAGAGGGACGTCAGTACTGTGGAGAAAGTCATCTTCGTAGTGGTAGCAGCAACTGAGGCTGTGGTGGAGGAAGTAGACGCCACAGGTGAGGGAGTGCTGTACAAACTCATTGTCATACATTTGAAGATGAGCCAGTCTGGAGTGTGCGGGAGGCCGTGAAGAAGGAGGAATACTAGCTCGTCTTCGGTCACTACAATGGCCATCTCCGCGAATCGTCGTCTGGCATTTTCGAACGTGCTGATGTAGCGGGGAGCATCGTCAGGGTCCTTAAGTTTTTCAGCGAACAATTGTGCACGAAGCTCAAATTGAGACGTGACATCAAGCCGTCCAAAATGAGTCGCCAAGGTGTTCCACTGTTCCCTCGCGGTCCAAGACTCGCTGAGCATACCTTGGACAACTGCAGAAAGCTTTCTGCATATGATGCCCTTAGCCTGCGCATCCTCCTTGATCCATTCAATCGCGCTTTGCTTTTCAGCGGCTGTGGGAGAACCAGCGACAGCTGGTGAAGGCATGACAAACGCGAATTCTGCATAGTTATTGGGGTCGGTGCCGGAACTGCAATGGTTCCAGAGTCCGTCTCCTTGGAGGGCGAGAGTAACCGCGCGACGCCAAGCAGGATAGTCATCAGCACCAGACAATTCGGTAATGAAGTCGTATTTCCCCATGGTGGATGTGGATATGTTTATTTCGCAGTGAGCGTTGGAGTTCGTACGTGAGCGGTCGGCTTCCTGGATCTGAGCTTGTTCAGAGCTCAGGGCTCATAACCTATAGGAAGCTAGACACACGGAGTAAGTCTCAGCGGACGGTGAAGCAACGCTTTCATTAACTACCTAGACACACGGAGTAAGTCTAGAACAAGCGTTAATCGTTAACAAGATGATAAATGAGACAAGAATGTGATCATACCTCAGCGGACGGTGAAGCAACGCTGAGGTAGAGTGGAAACGGGGAAGGGATTAAATACAGGAATGTAAAGAAGTCCGAGACGGAGAGAAGCGAGTCCGAGACGGAAAGAAGCGACTGATACACGAGGGTGATATAAGATGTCGAAGGTGCTACGAGTCGATAAGAGTCAAGAAAGGAAATGAGAATTCATAGTATGTCCCGGAGGTTAATCCTCCGGGACTCGTACCGTGTGGGCGCACTCTTCTGTCCTCTTTCATCCTTATCGCCAATAAGGATTATGTCCTCCTATAGTTCCCACGGCTACCATACCAAGGACTCATCGGTTCTCTGATGTTGTAGTCTGTCCTCGATCATATATGAGAGAGCAAGTTGCAGCCTCTCGCTATAGAGGTTTGGCCCCGGGGTTCCTTGCAGTCCATGCCCGGTCCAACCGCCGGTGATGATAAAACAACATGTATAATAAGCAACTCGATTGAGTACGTCATCTTGTTCTTATCTAGCAATCAATTCGATCCCCGTTCTTGAGTTGCTCATCCTTTGCAAGTAGTAGACCATGTTGACAACCACCAACGTTACTTGGCTAGACATACTATGCCTTACCGGTGTTACAGCCGGAGTCTATCTGGTAAAGCAGGTGGTCATCAAGAAGAATCCTGCACCATATCCACCTGGTCCTCCGGGGTGGCCTCTCATTGGCAATATTATAGACATGCCTCGCGTCAAGCCCTGGCTCACGTTTACTGAGTGGGGTCAGAAATATGGCGAGTGCCTTCCTTTTTCCGAAGTCACGCATTTTCAAAAATATTTTCTGCAGGTGATATCACGCATATCAAGATTCTGGGTCGGCACATCATTGTGCTGAACTCTGTCAAGGCTGCAATGGAAACGATGGACAGTAAAAGCATTGTGTACTCTGATCGTCCTGTTCTTCCCATACTTGGCGAACTTGTTGGCTGGAAGAACGCTTTACCTTTCATGGCTTATGGTGACCGTTTTCGCCTGCAGCGCAGGAACTTCCATCAGGTCATTGGAACTCGTGCCGCAGCGGAAGTATACAATATGAGCGAGGAGGTTGAAATTCGCCGGTTTCTGAAGCGCGTGCTTGCAAAACCCGACCAACTGCAGGAGCATATTCGACAGTATGTATTATTTATCCTCGCAGTGATACTATCTTAAATTTTTACTATAGTACTGTTGGCACTGTCATTCTGCGCATCTCTCATGGTTATGAAGTGCAAGAGAACAATGATCCTTTCATTGACCTTGCAAACCGCGTTACGACCTATGCCTCGCAGGCCGCAGCTCCCAGTGCCGTTATGATTGATATCTTGCCATTCTGTGAGCTACATTATTCTAACGTTTGCGCTGGCTTCTGATGATCTGGCAATCTCAGTGACAAAGGTCCCCGCTTGGTTCCCTGGTGCTGGCTTCAAGCGCATGGCACATAAAGGGCGTGACAACCTTGAAGAGATGGTTTCTGCACCCCACAAGTTTGTCAAGGACCAAATGGTGACCAATTTGCAGTTTTGCGATCATGAATTGAAGTTCAAATCTTCCAGGTTGCCGGCATCGCCCCTGTGTCTTTTACCTCGACTCTCTTGGAAGGCAGTGATGTGTCTGCGGAAGAGGAACACGGTGTGAAGTGGTCTGCTTTTTCCCTAATCACCGGTGGTACCGATACGGTTTGTCCTTCCCTATAACATCTTTTGAGAGCACCTAACCTACTTCCTCAGACTATTGCTGCATTATACTCGCTTTTTTTAGCTATGACACTTTTCCCTGATGTGCAGAAGAAAGCTCAGGCTGAAATAGACGCAGTTGTCGGTCCTGACCGTTTCCCCACCTTTGCCGACCGCGACTCCCTCCCCTATACTAATGCCCTTGTCAAAGAAATCCTCCGCTGGCATGTTGTCTCTCCTGCAGGTATCGAGATCTCATTTATGACACCACTATTTGATGACGGGTATCCCGATGACAGCTCTCCCTCACTGTGTGACTAAAGACGATATCCATGACGGGTACTATATTCCAAAAGGCTCCATAATCTTACCTAACATTTGGTTAGTCCTCCCCTTCCAATGATGAACAGAATAAAATGTTCTGAGTTGCGACAGGTTCATGCTCAACGATCCACGGACATATGCTAACCCCTCGCAATTCAATCCTGAACGCTTCTTAGCTAAGGATGGAAAGGAACCCGAGATGGAGCCTCGCATAGCCTGCTTTGGATTCGGTAGACGGTAAGGATATAGCAGGTTTTGAGCGTGGACGCTAAATTCTTGCTCCATAGTATTTGCCCAGGTGTGTCCGACTCGCGTCAATCGACAAACAAATATTTGAGCTGCTAACTTTTCATTGGACATTGACAGCCCTCCATCTCGCCGATGCCTTCATTTGGATATCTACTGCAATGTCACTGGCTGCGTTTGATATTTCAAAGGTCGTCGAGCATGGCGCCGAGATCACACCTGAAGTCGATCCATCCACAGCTTCATCCAGGTATGTCGCATATTTTGTCACGTTCCGCGCTAGTTTGAATATACACACTCCCAGCCACCCTAAACCCTTCAAGTGTTCTATCAAGCCTCGCTCCGCAATTGCCCTTGAGCTCATCGAGCAAGATGCTAACTACTAAGTGCATGATGATGAGACTGGAGACACACGCACTGGAGAAAACATTCATGAGAGGTTGTCCCGCCGTCTCTTATTATATTTCTCTAGGGTGTTTCGTGTCTTAGGCATTGATAATATCTAGTTGTTCTCTTCAAACACTAATCGTGTTTACGACATGTCTTAGCTTGTTTTATGTTCGTTGGGGCGATGCCCTATGGTAGACAAAACGTACAAGTATATACCAAGTATAAAATCCTATGCGTCAATGTCGTGGAGGCGTTTGTAGCACGGAGAGTTCGCTGCCTCACGTCGTTTCAGAGCTCTGGGAGGGTGACGATCGCGCCATTTCTGGATGTCAAGGATTTCGGGAGTACACGAGGCTCATGATGCTTAGGAGAAAGGTTTCCTCATCAGAGTCATAAGATCATACAGAGCGTTTTGCGCGGAGAGTCAGAGCCTACACTTGCCAATGTTCCGAAGTCGGGTAGCTGCTGCTAGCTCTCCTGAAGAATCCGTACCGTCTTAGTGGCATATTGGGCGTGTTACCCTCCGAAGAACTGGCCTATCGCGTACTGTAATTATAACGCCTATTCACACACGCCTTTCTGATGAGCGAAACTCACAAGACAATTAGACAATTTCCCTAGAAAGCTCCATGGCAATGAGGAGCTGGTGCGCCTCAGTCTGATTCTGTCGCCTCAGCGCACTGCATCGTTCAAGAGAATAGCAGGAGCTTATAAATGAATGAGGTTTGGTGGGATTTTTTTCGCAACGATTGTATTCACCTGATATGCGGATGACAAGACAACAAAATCTATTCGTATAGTGGACGACAGGTTACGGTTTGATCTAACATTACAGGCGTACCTGTAAATCCGTGCCACTCTCTCAACACAATTCCCTTGCTTGCAGACTGAGACTCGAGTAGCATGGGCCGACCTTGGCCTGGTAAAAGAGTGATGGTGGGCTTTCACATCAGTCGGCAAGTCGAACTGTAACCTATCGTCCACCACGTGTCCGAGCCTACTCCACTGGGAGATATTGGTAAGATTGGCCCTGTCAGCTACTTAGTTGTATACCATACCTTGTAGAGACAAAGTTCATGTCTGCCGTCAAAAAGCCTCATGGACGACATAGTTCACGTGGATACAGCAAAAATCCCGCAGGGAAGATGGGGAATTCATGTAGTGTATCTGTGCAGTGAGTCATCTACTAATGAAGTCGGAGCTACACTCCAATTGGGAGCCTTGTGCCCGATATTGACTATATTGGGACGTCACAGGATCTAAGAATGAAGACTATCAGCTCAAAGGGGGGCAAACAGAATACATGCAGTGTGATTGCCCCAACAAGGCTGGATGCATGCTGTATGATTGATAAAACTTCATGCAGCGTGTTTGAGGATGTGTAACGGAGTTACTATCAATTGACCACTAGTGACGCGTGACGGGAGAACCCCGAATAGCAGACTTTTACCCTGTCATTCGACCGAGAACATTCTTCGCCAAGTGATGTCGTTGTCTTCGAGTCCAGAGTCGCTAATTTAATGGTCAACGCCACAGCATGCAAGTTGCAAATTTTACGCCAACCAAATATATACAAATTTACCAGTTGAGTTGTGTCCAAACGGAGTGAATGTTGACAAAACACTGTATTCTGTGAAGCCCCTGGAATGTTCTTGTGAAGAACTACTCTGCACCGATTTTTGAAAATGGAGATGGACGACTCTGGCCATTAACTTTATACTAGCTAGTGTTGAAAGATTATAGATAAGTGATAACTTTGATTCGGACAACAACAAACAACACTCGCTTACATAATACGCTATGCGCTCATTAGAAGTTTTATATTACTTAGCACCTCAGTCTTCGACTATTGAGACTGAGGTATGATATTATTTATTTAGACTCTTTACTACGATACTGACTACTACTCTAGTACTTACTACTTTCGTTTATAGGTCAGCTAGTAGTCTCCCAGTCTTCGACTATTGAGACTGAGTACTTACTACTTTCGTTTATAGAATTCTTTCTGTCATTCTTTCGTCTGTCGCATCCTCGAACAAAAGGTTATGAGCCCTGGTGCTTAGAATCAATCCAGTACCACAAAGGAACATCAACCGAAACAAGAATTAAATGTCGAACACACCCTCAGTGTCTGCAGCCCAGTCAGGTGCAGCTGCTTCATCCTCGAACATCCCTTCCATATCATCCAGTTCTACATCTACAAGCAGAACTGCACAAGCCTCAAATCGTCTATATGATATTCCATCCCTCGAAAACGACGGTTCAAACTTCCAACTATGGAAGTACCGTGTCGAGTTAATCCTTGACCTTCGAGGACTATGGGGAATTGTTGAAGGAAGTGAAAAGATGCCAGATAGCACAACGCACCCTGTTCAACACCAGGAATGGTTAGCAAGGAACAAGGAAGCACGAGCTCAGATAGCTCTCACGCTGAAAGATGATCCCTTGAATGGGATACTCTATGTGCCAATAGCTAAAGATGCCTGGAAGAAGCTCTGTGAGCGATACGAGGGTAGAGGAAAGCAAACAATTGCTCAACTCATTGGCGAATTGTTTCGAAGTACCTTGACGGACGAATCTCCTATGGAAACGCAGCTAAACACCATGCGACAGAAGGCATTCATACTGTCCTCGCTTGGTCAGCCGCTCGACGATTCACTGGTCGCAGTTGCGATGGTGATATCCTTACCTTCATCCTATGCCACCCTTCGAACGATCCTAATGTCCAGTAGTGACAAACTCACCACCGAAACTGTTATAGCCCAAGTGCTGGTAGAGGAAAGGCAACGACAGGCTAGCAATAGCCAATCTGCGCTCGTTGCGAAGGGACCTGCGCAAAAGAATAAGCCTAAGCGCAAGGATAAGGACAAGAAGAAGTCAAAGGAAAAGTGCACATACTGCCACATTCCTGGACATGAGGAGAAGGACTGTCGAAAGAAGAAAGCTGCTGAAGACGCTGAAAAGAGTGGGAAGCAGGTGGACAAAGACAAAGGAAAAACGGACCTATCTGCAAAGGTCGCACGCATTTCGTCGGACCATGACACACCGCTCCAATTATTCATGGCACATGGGCACTCTACATCCGCATCCAAAGATGATTGGATAGTGGACTCTGGCGCATCTGCAAACATGACGTGTCAGCGGGAAATTTTCATCAAATATCGCACACTGAACCCACCCGGAAAAGTAATCATCGGAGATGGACGCTCGATAGATGCGATAGGTATCGGACGTGCTGAAATAAACGTCTATGTTGGTGAAAATGAGTACATCCACTCCATCCTGCAGGAAGTCTATCACATACCAGACCTGAATGCGAACCTTCTGTCAGTTCCGCGCCTCACGAAACAAGGTCTCGAAGTCACCTTTGATGGTTCCCAATGCAAGATCCTTGCAAAGGGAAAGACCGTTGCTCTCGCACATAAGCGAAACTCGCTATACGTCCTTCGAGTAAAGCCATGCGAGAAAGCACATGCATACATTCTGCAAGGACCATCAGCTCCACTCGATCCAGATGTCCCCATAACAGCTCTCACCTCGCGCATGCTCCATTCGAGTGCAACTCTGGACACATGGCATCGACGACTTGGGCACGTAAATTTCGACTCCATATCTAAGTTAATTTCGAAAGATATGGTCAATGGGATCAACATAAAGGGTTCAAGTACTCACAATAAGGCAGTGTGTCAGCCTTGCCTTGAAGGCAAGCAACACCGCAACCCAATCCCAACGAAATCAAATGTCGAAAGCCCAGGAGTCCTGTATCGCACATACTCTGATGTATGCGGACCCATGGAAACAGTGTCGCGCGCCGGCTTCCGATACTTCGTTACATTCATAGATGCCTATTCACACCATCTCGTGGTTAAACTTGTGAAGACCAAGGATGAAACATTCGCACTCACCAAAGGATACTTTGAACGTGCAGAGACCGAGACTGGAGAACGCCCCAACTATTTTCGTAGTGATGGTGGGGGGGAATATGGATCAAAACAATTTGTATCCTATCTCGAGTCAAAAGGCATCCATCACGAGAAAACAAACGCATACACACCACAAGAGAACGGTGTCGCAGAGCGGATGAATCGGACCTTAGTTGAAATGGCACGCAGCTTGCTACGAGACGCCGGACTGCCAAACACATATTGGGGAGATGCGATCCTATATTCGGCGCACATATTGAACCGGGTTCCAACTCGTGCGATAGATGGAGACATTACACCACATGAAGCGTTCACTGGGAACAAACCATCAGTATCCCATCTCCGGGTATTTGGGTGCAAAGCCCATGTACACATACCTGATGAAAAACGCCAGAAGCTCGGTGTGAAATCGCTCGAATGCGTCAACCTTGGGTATGCCGAACATCGAAAGGCCTATGTATGCCTGCATCGTCCAACCGGTCGCATCCTCGAGTCGCGAGACGTCGTCTTCGATGAAGGAGATCCGCAAGGGCCTAGTCGTGTCAAGATAGACACATTTCTCCCAGAGAAACAGGTCACTGCTGCAAAGCACAACACAGACGACCTGCAAGGCCTGGAAGCTCCTCATAAGTCAACAATTATAGAAGAATTATCAGACGATGACGCACCGGAAGTGGGAAATCCAGCTACCAAATCTCCCCACGAGGATGATGATGTCGATGGACAACCAGCTCCTCTAAGCATGGTCAAGTTCGAGCCTGAAGACCAGAACAAGGAAATGTCAGCACCGAACAACACGCGTGCGTTGGAGACACACCGTGTTCAACCACTAACCCCTTCAGCCACTCGACAAATAGCACCTCCTGCTCCATATCCTCGCCCAGCTCCTCCACCTGAAGTAAGGCGCAGCTCGCGAGCGCGACGCGCACCTATGCGAGACGATGATCCTCGCTACTTCATAAACGCCTATGAGAAGTCAACACTTCAAAGAGAGGAACCGGTTATACAAGACATACCTGAGGCAGTGGGCGCGATTGAGGCTGCGGAGACACATGGGGAGGCTTACAAGGCTACAGTAGCTTGTAATGGTGAGCCTGGGACGTTCCATGAAGCAATGAATCGTCCAGACGCAGATCTATGGTACACGGCGATGACTGAAGAATTGAAGATCTTCGAGAAGATTGGCCTATACGAGGAAGTCAAACGCCCTCGTGACCGCAAGGTTGTAGACTCGAAATGGGTCTATAAAATTAAGCGCGGCCCGCATGGCGAAATTGAACGCTATAAGGCCAGACTCGTCGCG